TATTAGCAGCAATAAATAAATTACTCGTAAATAAAGTAAATAAAACGTAAAATCGAAATCGCATTATAACATACCTAAATAAAGAGTGAAAAAAAAGATATGTTAAAATTGAAGGTTGGTTTAAGCAGCCCTGTATTAGAATGTCCGCTGTACTTGATACGTAATTACTATTTCCGGACGAATGTACGTTGACTAGATTTGGCGCCATAACATATTAGCTGTTAGCCTAGAGCTAGATAAACCTTGATAGCGCACTCGAATCCAATCAGATTACTCTTGGTAATAAAATTGAATCTATAAAATATTCCCAAATTTTTTTAAGAGAACAACAAAATGAATCCATATTTCTTTGGTCACGGCATCACACGTGAACCGTTACCGATTTCACTAATTCTTTTTTTCTAGCGTTTCTATTGACACAAGAGGGTTTTTACGAAAGAAAAGGTTATTGTTAAATAATAAGAAGCTTAGGATTGTATTTGGCATAGATTTAGAATATAGTAGTCACCCGCGACTTCGTCCGGGCTGAATAAATCTACTCATAAATGTAGTTTATGTCATCCGGAGATAGCGAAAGAATTTTTCAAATTAGTTCCGTAGTTAGTAGCTTATTCAATGCAAACAATCAATACATCATGACTGTATAAAATATTTTTTTAATTCTTTTACTTTTTAAAAGCGTTTAATCTCTCACGGACGAAGTCGCGGCAAAAGATAATAAGAGATATTCCACAAAAGTTTTTTTTTTTATTAATATGATGGGAATAAAAGACAAACGCAAAATAAAAACGTTATCATTATATTATTTTATTGTAATAAAGATTATTTTATCATGATTCTATTCACTCAGTCATTTTCTTGAAATTCCAAATGATCGTCAATGACGTATCAAATTTTTTACTCTGTCTATGTCTTGTTGTTATGATATTTTTATATTTTACTAGCTTCCGCCCGCGACTCCGTCCGCGCGGGATACTATAAATAATAGATACGGGATAAAAAATACATAGTAGCCGATTCTCAGACCTACTCAATATGCTCACAAAAATTCATGAGAATCGGTCAAGCCGTTTCGGAGCAGTATGGAAACGAAAATTGTGACACGCGAATTTTATACATACGATTGTTTGCTAATGACCTACGCTATAACGAATTACGTCATCAAACTTTGTTATTTACAGAATACGAAGAAGAATAATCATTAAAATTGAATAATAATACATATATAAAAGCCGTGAATTCCATATAAAAATGGTATTGGCTGCATACAGTTTTCTTTAGACGTACAAACACATTTTGGAAATTATGTTACGTCAAGCAAACCAAACCAGTACTTGTCTTAAAGACATTTGTGTTGTGAGTAATAAAATTTCACATGTAAACCGCATAATATGTATGTTTATTTGTAACAAAGCGTATATAGTTGAGGAGATTTCATAATGTTAGAGATTTCGATGCGTGTAGAGCACGCGTGTCGGGGACAATGCGTATTTACGTGACTTGATTTGGTGCACTATTTAAAGTACATTTGTGTAAACAAACTTATATAACAAATATATGAGGACGATCGATATAATAGAGCTTCGGCTGCTCTGGGGTCAAGCATTTGACTTGCAATCTGCAGGTCCTGGGTTCGAATCCCGCCATGTACCAATGTGTTTTTCGATTTCCGATTTACATATGTACATTTATCCGACGTTTTTAAGGTGAAGGAACACATCGTGATGCAACTTTCACATATATGAGAAGAATTTCAAAGATATGTGTGAAGTCAACCAACCCGCACTTGGCTAGCGTGGTTGACTATGGTCTAATCACTCTTAACTTAGGGTCGGCTCCGAGGCCCTCGCTGGGGACGTACAGTGAGCTGATGATGAGGACGATAACGTTTTAATATAGAGGCTAAGAACATAAATATTGTATATACGTTTTTTTTCACAAGTGGTTATTAAACTATTTAAGTTTGTAATAATAGTCCCGCTTAAATCGTTGTAACTGGGTTATTACTGTTACCCTGCTGAGAAATATATTAAAAAGTATTAATTTTTAAATAAGTTTGTGAGAAAAAATTCAATATACTTTTCGCACTTAACGCAATCAAAAATCCTTTTAACGGTAGCAACTGGCCTTTTTTTTATTTACTCGTTGTTTCATGTACATAAGATGGGACTTTAGCAAGTTTGTATACTACTATCCAATGTTTATGATAGCTCCCAATCTTGTACGAGATGATGCGCTGCACAATTTAAGGTTAACACAAAAATGCAGACATGTTTGTATCATCGATTTAAGCCCTGAAACGTCATCATCTACCTGACCTTATACTGCTCGCGTGGGGTCGGCACAAAGATTTTATAAAACTTAAAGTTTTGGTTAAATTTTTTATTCCGGCCTGCCTGTTGCCAACCCTTTAAATTCCTTCTTCCACAAAAACTGCTACTAATTTAAATGTTGAAACGTACCATAATAAATCTATAGACAGTATTGACATTGTCATTCAGGGACATGTGTAAATATTTTTTTTATAACAGAAGGGGGCAAACGAGCAGCGGGAACACCGAGGTGTTCAACGACGCCCATGGACATGAGCAATACCAGAGGAACCGCAAATATTTCCTGCATATGCTCGTAGAGCACGAGCAGCTATAAAGTTTGAATAGTATAGTATTTATGACAAAGGTGGTGTAGATGTCATGCATGTGCACCAACCGTGTCCGATACGCATACCCTGTAATTACGATACCGCTCGTTATGTTGCAACATATAAACTTTAAAGTAATCTAGATTTGATTTCACATACTTAAAAATTTGCTCGTATAAAATAAAAATAATTACAATAAATTGATTTTCTAATAATATTTTATCTGTAGACCATTTAAACAATGTCTTAGAAACGGGTTCAGGATGTATCGTCGAATTTAATGGAAATACGTAATTATACTAACTTTCATAGACTAAAAAAAATATCTATTGTCTATAGGTTTATCTTAGAATGTTTCAGTGTTTAAATTTATAATAAAAACATGTCTGTTAATACATCTGCGATAACAGCCTTGTTAAGGTAAATTTATATAAAAAGGTTGGTTAAAATGAGTCATTTTCATTGCATAAGAACACAAAAATCAATTTACCTAACATATAGATGAAACTGTTTCGCACTCATTGACGATTTGCAATACTAAAATGTTTTGATAGGAAACACTGTAATACGAAAGCACAAGTTTTTTTTAATTCAAGCAAATAGGTTTAATAGTATTTTCTATAAATTATCCGCCAATGTTCAATTAAGAAAACAAAACAGTCGGTTATGATTTAGAGCTTGTTAGGTTAGAAAAGTGACAGCTCGGAGTATTTTAGTATAAATCATAGATTAATAAATAATATTTCTAAGGGGTTTAAAAGACAAAAGAAGTTATGCCAGAGGGAACTAAATGCTTACAAAATTTTCGTTATAATAACGAGTGATTAGAACACGAAAGTAATAATTGTTAATTTTTTACATAATTATATTATGCGGTACTTATAACGAAAAAACATTTTTTTTAATTTTTTGTCTGTATCAGTCTGCAAGTTAGCGTTTGTTCCGGGTAATCTTCGAAACTGCTATATCATAATCAAAAAGCTTTATGTGGGAGTAGTTTTTTTTTATTCTGCGCTGACGAAGCCGCTATTCAATCATACAATTATAAAAAATCGCCGTTAGCGTGACTTATTGTAATTATTCGATTTACTGCTTCTCTGATGCCGTGCCAAGGTCCATTTGTGCTTAACACTGGATCCGAACTTTATACGTATATTTCTTATGTAAATTATGATCAAGTTGGATATATGTAAACCAACTTACAAACAACATCCTTCGTTTAAACCAGTAAGTTCCAAAGTAGTCTAGTACAGGAGAAGTCGGTGTTGGGCGAGCTGGAGGCACCGTCTAGGGCGCCGAGAATAAGAGGGCTAGAGTCGTACATAAATGGACGCCAGTAGTGCTCCCTAAGATACGCTATCTTTGTAAGTTTTTCTGCAGAAATGCTAAAACCGGCGTTGTGGTCCAGATGGGATAACGGAACATCCAGCGAAGGAGTACAGTGGTAAATAAGTTTAAGGGTCACAAGTGGTAGAAATGTAGCAAGAACTCACCAAAATAAAGTTAAATTTTGAAACAAGTCTACTAGAGAAATTTTCGGGAATTTTTTGGTTCATACAATGTTTGTGACGTCGATATCATTAAGGGAAAATTTTTTGCTTGTCTTTGATACTTTACATTACCAATAAAGATATATTATTTTCTTTGCTTACGTTGTTTATTATTGTAATAATAATTCATTTTATATTTACCTTAAACTCTATTATTTTAAAGCACGTAATGTTACTTAAATATTGTTTTTACTAAAGTTAGTTACAAGTACAAAAAGCGAATTAGCTAACGAAACTGTTATAAAAATATTATTTCTTTATTTAACTGAAATTTAACAATAATAAATTCACGGTCAAATCGTGTGATTTTTATTTTTACGATTTAGGATAAAGTTTCTATGACAACTATTAACAATAAAACAAAGGGACTGTGAATAGACTTTGATACCGATGCGACGATCAAGACTTGTCAAAGTCGTATTTGGGTATAGCAATTTTTGATGTGACATCATATTAATTATCAAGTTAAATAACACTGGTATGATAATTTTGGAAAAAAAAAAACAATTGTTAACACATCAATCTCGAACTCCTTGCTATGGCACTATTAAACAGTCGTAAAATAAAAAAAGAAACAATCTTGCTTTAAAGAATACTTTGAATTAAAATTATTAGTTTTATCGTAGTAGCGATAAGGAATCAAATATAATAGACGCTGTTTTTGGCTAAGACAGTATAAAAATATTTTTAAACTTATAAAGCGTATAAATGTATTCCCTAAATAATTAATTCATTTATAATTTTTTAGAATTTTATTATTTTAATTGCGCATTAATTTTTGAGTTAAAATACGTAAATTGTTTACTTACTTGTGTTCTAAAAAATCCAAGTTTTATTAAATTGTTTGTTCCCAAATATTTTAGACACTTATTAAAATAATTTGAACGATTTTACTGTAAATAGTCATTTTTATTTAATGGAAAAATTCACTTTACACTCAAAATATACGACGCGTTTTTTTTTTAAATAGAACGCAGCCGCAAGAGCGTTGAGAAGCGCGGCTCGAGTACAAATGCTTAGCTTAGGTTCACTCTTATTGGCGCGAAAATTCGTTGCGCAAATTAAAAAAAAAGTAAAACAAACGCTCACCTTGATTTCTTTCTAATACTCCTTCTAGATGAGTGTACTTTGTATAAAATTAATTTTATTACGATATTATTTGTGTTTCTAAGGGCTTTATAGAATTAAAAAGGTTGATAGCCACTATGAACAGAGATTTTTTTGAATTTTATCTTCGCTTCATTCCATAAGAGAAAGTGTAATATCATTTTAGGGAAACTGGAGTGGCATTTTTTCTAAATTCTTTGCCTTAACGAAACGAAAAAAAAACATCAATTATTGCATCATCAGGAAGTTATTTTTTTTTATAAATTTCGAATTTCAGTTTTAAACAAGTTAGGCTTCAGTTAAAAGGCATTTTTACTTTTATGCCACGGATAGTATACACAATTATAAAGATTTTCGTAACAACACCTATTTTAAATGAAGATATTAAAATGCACTCGTGAAATGTGCTTTTATTTTACATAAATATTCTGGTTACTGCAAAATTTCACTGCTGACACATTTGTTTGAAGTATATTATTGTCTCTGGTTTTTCAAAGAGAGTGAAAGGGATGACAATACGTTTGTATACAAGTGTCTCGACAATGGAAGCCCACAGTTAACGTAAAATTTCCACCGTCTTGAATCATTGCTGTAACCGTCACCTACTATGTAATGATTACTTGAAATTTACGCTAATCGTCAACGAAGCAGGAATTACTTTTACGGTATTTTACGTAATTGTAACGGATCAGGTTTGTTAGGACATCGTGGATTGCATCTGTCAATTACAAACATTCGTTGTGCGAAGTATACTAGAAACGACTGTTATTTATACATTTATTTCAATGTTTCTTTTTAAATAGATGTTATTAAGTAATCATAAAAGTTATAAATTAATATTTTAAAAGACGTCATTATCGAGATTCAGAGTAATCTCAAGCGTTTGAAATGTTTTGATTGTTGGCATTGTATAGGCTCGGAAACTACTAAACCAAATTGAAAAGCTGTGAAGCTATCATCATTGGGCGACGTATTTATTACTTGAAGATGCTTTATTAATTTTGCACAGTTGTATTCGGGGCAACTGTTAGTATGTATTTGAATCTTCAATTAGATAAAGGCACTAATAAAACAAACCCATACAAACTCATACATATGTAGTCCATCGGTAGTGTTCATTTACCAATGCTTGCTTCAGGGGTAGCTACAACGTCAGCGTTACAACAGACTTGCGGTCACGAACCGCTGAACAAACGGACGGAAATGTATAAATGTATGGCAAATGCGTTTAATGCAATCTAAGCCAATTTATGGCCGTTTTAATTATACCTACATTTGTATGCCGTCATACAAACAACTTGTATGAGAAGAGTTTAATGGATGTAATCTTTTATAATTCTATAGCTCTGTAATGCTACATAATTATAATGACAATTGTTTTTATCAAACAAGAATTGTAAATATTCACGCGTTTAACCCAAAGGCAAAGACAGGCATAGGTAGGTAGAAACTATGGATTTTTATTTGACGCAGTCTTCGACACACCTTTCAGTTTCCACATTCATGTAATAATCATATCTTATTAAGTTTCCAGTCTATACATATTAATAAAATCGTAGTGTCTGTATGTAATATTGAACAAAAAAATCATATTTCGCGCGCATATTTGCGTAGCTAATAACACAATTTTTAAAATGTTTGTTTGTCTGACCGCAAGGCCGCGTTGAACGCCTCGACCGATTTTGACGGGGCGGGAAGGCACGTGTGGCACGCGGGAAAATTATAGGCCAGTTTTTTTTCTCCGCTAAGTCGCAGGCCACCGTTAGTTCTTAATTCAAAATAATGATCACGTGAAGACATATTATAAAAAGTAACACTCACGTACACACGGAAGCAAGAATTTATAATATGGTAACATTTAACATCCACGCCAAAATTGTTTGGTGAACATATTATCTATCCTCCCTTTCATTCATTACTGAAAAAATGAGATAACAATATTTTGTTGTACGATTGATATTTTGGCTTGTACAAGGTCTTCTAAATTAACTTCCTTTATTGATGTAATCATTTGAGTCATCTTTTTTATTGATAAAATACAATATACTAGACTAGACTAGATTGCGTGTTAGAAGAAATGTATCCTTGGTCTATATTACCTTGGACTATAAATTTAATTGCTATTTTTTAGCGCTTTACGTAGATCGCTACTATTCACTCTTTAATTCGACAATAAAATATTAAATTCTACTTTTATATATTTATGCACTAATTAACACAATTCCGTGTAATATATGAATATTATTTTGTGTGTTTAAAAAATACTTTATTGAAAACTAGAGTTTACCCTCGAGACTTTATTTGTAAGGAATTAAAAAAAATGTGTTCTTCCAGATTATGTTATACATGAAAAATTTCACCTAAATCCGTGTAGCTGTTCATCCATCTATCTAAATTTTTTTAGTTATAATATTAGTAAGGCAAAGGCATTTTATTCCATTTAAATGTTCAGAAATAATTAAAAATATTTTTTTTCTTTGTACAGTGGATAGCTGTAACTATCCGTAACGGAATCATTAAATGCAACGCTTCTCTCAATGATTGAGCGTGTCTTGACAATTGCTAGTAATTTGCAGGCAGTCGTGTGCAAAATATATAGTAAATTGCATATATCAAGGTATTGTGCGTGCTAATTCGGTGTAACAGGCTTTTTATCTCTTCATAATTGTCTAACAAAAACATTTGGCTAGTTATTTCGCCATAACATGTCCAATTTTAAAACTATATTTAAGAAAACATAATTGACATTATTAATTTTTGTTGAATTTTTACAAAGAAAAAATATTTTACTGTTTTAAAATTTCAAGATTAACATGCTTTATTGTTCGGCTGTTGTAATCATAAAATGTTACTTTTTCTAAAGACATTACGACTTGTTACATCAAGTCTAAAAAAGCAAAGAGCCAAAACACAAACAACAAACGTAACAAAATTAGATTCCCGCCTTTCACAGATAACTTTGTTATACTTTTTATATAATATTTCTACTCTGCAGAACTTTTGAACCAATAATGTCAATTATGTAAGCAATGTTGCCAACAGAAATTATTTAATAGCAAACAAAAAGGTTTTATTGAAAAGTCTGCTGCTTTCATGCTTGTGTTGTGGGATGCGGGGAGAGGGCAATGCGCAGCGTGCCGATGTCCTTGGCCGCCAAGATATTTGAAAAGAGTTAACACAGCCATCGAACTTCAATGAAGGTTTCTTCAAAAGAACAAATCCTATAAAGCAAAATACTCATGAATTTAATACTAAAATATCTGAACCAGTGTAACGGATTGTAAAGTAAAGTTGAGAAAGTCAAGTTTTTATATGGAATTTGATTTTGTCGTGTAACACAATAGAAATCTTTACAAACAGTCAGTTTCCCAAGTCCCCACGTGCAGTATAACAATGGTAATACTTCCGATATACGAAGGTTACTTGCCCCAGTACTTACCATCAAGCAACACTAGTCATTATGTTAGTTAACCTTGACAACAGCAAAACATTTTTCCTTGAGATGTTTTCTTGTGAAACGAAATTAGATTGATCTTTATTACGCTAAAGTAGATAACAATTGCTGAATTACTTAAATTGCACACGTTCATTCGGTCTGTATGCATTTTAATTGGTGTCTATGGTTGGAAAAACCTGTATTTTAAAATAATTTTCCTCAATCTGCAAAAATTGATGACTTATGCACAAGATTAAAAAGTACAAAGTGGACGTATCCCCGCTATTATATTTTTTGTTATGAACTTAATGCGTTGTTTTGTTGAGGTTATATCTTTGTAACGTATTTTTGTTTTAACTACTAATGCATGCTGATGTTGATTTCTTTTTCACAGCATCCTCCAACTTTAAGGAAAAACCTGAGAACAATAATACGCTAATTATTACTATTTTGTCATTAGATTAAATACGAAAAGAAAAAAGTAAACGCTTTATTTGTAACACATGATATTAACATTGAATTAATAAATAGCTTAAACTGAAAAAAAATGTTGTTAACACATCAGATTAAAAAAAAAATGTTTTTGTCAGTGGCTCAATATTCGTCGTGTGAAAGCCAAGTTAGAAAACAAAAAAATGTAGCATCACGTGACTTTACACCAGGGTCGATGACCTTCATCAATATACTTGTGAACGTCTGGTAACCAAAGCCGTGAATCTTAGTGCAAATTACCCGCATAAATTTATTTGCCAACCCTCTCATATACTTTGAAAAACACGGACAACAATAAGTGTTTTAGCTTTTTTTTTGCATTTTAATGAGGTTATTGACTACAGTGGTAATACAAATTGCGTAAACAAATTTCTTATTATCTGTAATGTCCATAGACAAGGTTGTAGTAAACAAAAAATGTAACCACAATAATTAAGTTTGGTGTGTTTTGTGATATTAAAATAATATTAGGTCATTGTATATCAAATTATTATGAAACTGTGTGGAATATACTTAATAAAGAGAAAGTTAAAATAATAAGACTAAATACATTCGAAAGATAAATATTCTATGTTGGATTTACATTTAGTAATTACATTTTAATATTGATATCATCGATATCCGCATATTTCTTAAACTTCGAGGTTAATATAGAAGGTTAATGTTTTGTGACGAATACTTACTTAAGCCTGATATCAAGTTTATGAGGAACTAGTGTTCGCCCGCAACTCCGTCCACGCGTTATTAAAAAACAAAATTAGTAGCCTATGTGTTCCAGACAATGTCTATGCCAGATTTCACCGAGATCCGTTCAGCCGTTCTGGAGATACCTTTAAACAAACATCCATCCATACATCTAAACATCTGCATTTATAATGTTTGTAAGATTGCCACTCGTGTATCTCTTTAAATACAATAAATACGTAATTTTAAAGATAATTATGTCAATGTAATGTAATGTTTCTACGTAGTACAAAGTTCAAGTGTATAAAAATCCAAGTTCGAGTATAATTTTGTGACAACACATTACCCCTAGTCAGTGTTATTCACGTTTACATAATTCGGCGCTACAAGTTCAATTATAACAAGAAAACGATGAACTTTAAATGGGCCGAGTTGAAAACTTTATAAAATATTAAAACAAAATATTTGTTTAAGCAAACGATGTTGATGACATTACACATTTTTAAAGTACACTGGCCACTAATATATTGTCGAAGGTTTTCTGTCAAATTTTCGAAGAGCCTAGTTTTTCCACGCTCGGAATACATGTAGAAAAATATTTTTTCATCCCATTCTTTGATAAAACAAAGATACGTAAGACAAGTACGAGGCACTGCAATTTTACGGTAATCTTTGCCAACTATCCAAGTTACCAAAGACAACGCCCTGTCATTTATGTTATGAGCATAGACATAAAACGTCTTTATTTTTTTAATGGTGCAAATATTTAACTTTCGTTGATACTTGACCCTAATTTCACTTAATACGTATTTACAAAGCAAAGTATTACGTTGGAAGCTGCAATGTTTTTCAATATTGGTCACATATCGATGAAAACTGACCAACATAAAAGAGTTTCACGATTACTCAAAGATACGACTACCTAGATAAATATTAAAATTCACAACATAAATTAGTATGCAAAACTATGAGCTAAGCTTAATTATTCGCGAGATAAATTCTGCAAATTATTTCTTGTAAGACGCTATAGTTCATAGCCACGTGAATGAAAGTTAGCGCCTTTTATTGAAAAAGCATTAAACACTTAGGTTAGGTTGTACACGAACCTATTCAATAAAACATTGATCCAGATAAGTATCAACTCCAAGTGGTCGCAACAAAGACACATTCACACGACAGTCAAAAGATAACAGCAAGGTTTGACCAACACGTAACTCGTGACCTCTACCTCTATTCTTCTCATGCGAGGTCAAGTTGTAAACCACATAATTCTGTTTAACTTACCATAACATTACACATCGCAACTTAAATATAACACAGGGTCAAAGGTAAATCAACAAAATCTGTTTATATATTGAATAAACATAGTAAATACACAAAGTATACAGTTGACCTTATACGTAAGACATCATAAACATATTACATATACCGGTGATTTACGTCAAAGCAAAGATCTCTTTTTCGGTATTTTTTTATTGTGCATATATAATTTATTGAAGATATGATTTGTCTTGTTCGAATGAAAAATTTAAACTTATTTCGATTAATGCGTTATCAGTGTGTATAACAGTCATGAATTTTCACACTAAAATTGATAATCCGCACTTTAGCTCACGGTTCACATGAATGAAGCAGATCAGTGAACCATCTCGCAGTGCAGCTCAATTTGTACCTTCATAGAGTTATGATTTGACTTTCCAGCTGAGAGCTGTGAGCCCACAAGCAGCTCGCGGTTCGTCGGCTCAAAAAATGATAGTCTTCAATTAGCGAAAACGTTGTTATTCCTAACGAGAGTTATAGAACTACGTGGCGATCTGTGAGCTGCCAATTTAGTTGTAGAGTCGTAGCTCAAAGATTCAAGTCTGTGTGACCTAAAAATTTAAACCGATTTGAACTCATCCAGTGTATAGTGCGATTGTAATGTGGTTACTTGGCCTTTGCGAATAACACAAGGCGACAAACTACAAGCTCAGTTAACTCTTTTATATTGACTTATGTTTACGGAAAGCAAAATTATAATTGCTATTTAGTAAATATTCAAACAGCGACATCTATGCTTGAAATATTCGACTTCTTCACAACTGCACCTAAACTGAATTCACAGTCAAACTAAAGATGGCGCTATGATGGGAATTGATGGAGGTTTCGAGAGAATAAAAATAAAAATGAAAGTATAGGCTTTTGGTTTCAGTAATCATGTCGAAAGAAAAAACATATCATTAATTTTTAGAGCATACATGTTCTTCATCAATATAATTTAAAATTAATGGTTATTTTTTACATTTATTAATATTGAACACTTCATAAGTAGAAATGAGCAAGGTTAAAAAACTAGCTTGATCTATATATTTAAAAACCCTGTATAAAAATGTAAGTAGTCAAAACCTGAGTTATTTCATTGAAGGAATATCAAATATATTTCACTCAAACATGTGACTTTGTTGGTTTCAGTGCAGTATACTTTCTCAATTATAAAGATAAGATCAAATATACATATTAATAGATATTTTTTAAACTAAACTTGTTAAACATATTCTTTAGCTAGCGGTAGACAGAGTATGTCTCCCCGAGTCATTCAGCCATGTATTTCATATACCATGTTCTATTCAAAATCTTATTTCCTTAAATGCTTACACCTTAAGGTGGGATTGGTATTGTGGACAATTTACTTCTTTTTACTATGCTATTACAATTATTCTATGATTTCCACACCACTAGAACTTCCGTCACTACTCTCCGCCTCACTAGATTCCTCACTTGACTCATCAGATCTATCTCCCCGGGCAGCTTTCCGTGCCATTAATTCTTTATACTCTCGTACTGTGATTTTTCTGGGCACTATTTCACGAAGAAAATCCAACGTATCATCTTCTTGCACAACCTCAGCTATATGTTTGTACTCTAACATATTTCCCTTTATATTTTTGTACGCTCTTTTAGCTAAGTCCGTAACAAACATCTCCTGAAATTAATAACAGTTCATTAATTTACTCTTCCCGTTCTTTTATGTATTTGATTTAAAATATAGCGGGAAATTTAATTACTTACTGTCACTTTAGTAACTAAATACAATGGTTCCGGTCCAACTGCATCGACGTCTGGAGAGCTTTTCATAATCGTTTTCACTCTAGACAATGGTAAATGAAGATCTTTTTCAGATTTTGCAACAGACATTTTTAATTCAAACCTATAAAATAAATTTTTTCCTATGATGTTTGTTTTGTTTCGATTTAGTTCATATGAAGTTCGACGTTTGACAGCAATTTTTTCCCTCCAACCAAAGAGAAGATTGCGTCATATCACAAAGAGTAAAAAGTTTAAAGAGTATGTATTTATGGTCAATGTCGATATGTTTAATAGTAGTAAATTAATTATGCGTCTAAAGATGGCGTTGAATTATATCGTATCTGAATATATTCGCTCTTTCGTTGTCAGAATTTTTGATTTGACCACTGACATATATGTACTATGCCTCATTGTGCATCGTTTCCCTATTCGCCACCGCTCTCCTCTCGCTCGCTCTCCTCTATTGAGAGTGATTCTCTACTCTGTACGTTTCTTAGCGATCTGACAATGTCCTATGCCTGCCTAAAATAATTAATTAAAATCAGTTCTTACCTTTTAACGTTGTTCTTAGAAGTAACATAGGCGATGCAGCGCCGCATCGGTTAAAGGCATCGGAAATAAACTATTATTAAGTTGTTATCAATAGACCTAATAGTGAACTCGACGAGGTGCGTCGGGTTTAACCTACGTCGACTTAAAGAATGCTAGTTTTCAGAGGATCAAAGGCACATCTTTGAACAAGTGAACAGCACAGTACTTTTATTTTGCCAAAGTTTAAGTAGGCAGTGTGGTTATTTTTTGGTGGTTCTTGGTTAAACAAAATAAAAATCATCATTGTAATAAAGTAATGTAGTTTGTCTTATATTGTAATTTTTAAAGTATATGCAACTTATTATTGAAATATGTATGTAAATTAGGTGAAAGTAGGTTGTGTTATCTATTTCATTAATAAAAGCTACTTTGATTAATATTATCGTTTTTTTGTCATTAATAACTGTAGTGTAACTGAATAGAAATAATAAAAAAGATATTCTATCTGTTCGCAAACAGGGAGCAGTACCAATATGTTTAAATTGAAAAGGAGTTAGGGTCACAATAAAAAAAGGTTTTAGATATAGTCTTAACGCTAGCTGTCTTTATTTTCCATTTCCTTATAGAAAATATGTTTTCGAAAAACAGTATTGGGTGAGGCCGTGGCGGGGCCCGCGCGGGCCGCCGACCAGCGCCGCCCGCACGCTTCGCTCAACATCCAATAATATAAACGATAAATAATACAAAAAAATACTGATAGCACGAGATCGAAAGCTTCTTAGAGGGACTTCTCGATTTTAATGAGTTCCGCGATGCCGTCGTACATCTCCTTGACGGCGTCGTACTCGGTGAGGCCCATGCGCCGCTTGTTCGAGATGTCGTACACGCCACCCTCCGCCTCGGTGTGCTCACCGCGCGTGCCGCGCACCTGCAGATGGTACTTGCTGGCCACCTCCTCCAGCTTGGCCTTGTCCGCCGCCAGCTTGGGCAGCTTGATGTGCACCGAGGCGCGCACCGTCGTGCCCAGGTTGGTGGGGCAGAAGGTGAGGAAGCCGAGCCGGTCGTTATGCGAGAAGGGGATCCTCTTCTCGATGTCGTTGACGGCGGTCACGAGCCGCTTGTACACCTGCTTCAGATCGCCGCCCATTTGCATCGAGATGATGCGGAGGTGGTCCTCCTCGTTGCACCACACGAGGAAGGTCTTGTTCTCGTTGTGGTAGATACCACGGCCGGTGGGCCAGAAGCGGCACGCGTTGGCCGCCTGCAGGAAACGGTCACCCTCCTTGAACAGGAAGTGGTCGTCGATCAGCTGCTGCTGGGTCTCCTTGGACATGCCGGTAAGCGGATAGAAGGTGCCTTTGAGCTCGCCCTCGAGGCCGGACAGGGTGGAAGAAACCTTGTCCTCCATCTCCTTGTACTGAGCCTCGGTGAGACAGGGGTTGAAGGGGTAGCCCTCCATGGAGCGGCCGCAACGCACACGCGTCGACACGATGAATTCGCCGGCGGGGTCCAAGTTGCCGAGGGTTTCGACGTCGCCCCAGTTCTTTGGCGGGTGCTTGTCAGTCTTCTTGAAGCCATTGTGGTAGTCCTCGATGATGGGATCGAACAGGTCAGCGAACACTGTGTAAGACTCGGCGTCGGGGGCGTAGATGCCCACACCGGAGTCAAGGTTCTCAATACCTATAAACAAATGTTATTTGCTATGTAAAGTACTGAAATCATTATAATTGTCACGGGTACTATAGTGTCACACAGCAAGAGGTGTCGAATTTATTTGCCACGGCTTAAATTAAACAATGAACAATAGAGCTATCAGTTTTCTGCAAATGACGTTGCATCACCGTTTTCAATGTTATCTGTACACTTATCAGTAAATAATCAATAATCTACTTCATTATTGCAGCATATCGTCCAAACAGTGTTTAAAGGAATCTTACGTAATTCCTAGTACCTAGTATCTTCAGAGCGAGTATAAAATTAGCAGCTTTTATTCATAACTAAACCTAACCTAGTACAGATTTTAAAACTTTTAAAAAATGGTCAACTTACCCGACTGGATGCAGTCTAAGAGTGTTGAGCCGAAAGAGGTCTTCTTATTCTTAAGAGCATCGAAGACCTCCCTGGTGAGGTACTTCTTCAGCAAGGACTTGGAGTCCGAGGCCTGGAGCTTGCTGAAGCCAGCCTCCAATTTCTCGATGGTTGCGGCGTCCACCATTGCTGCGGCTTTTCTGCAAGTAATATAATTTGCAACGTAATTAACTTCGTGCAAAACGGAAATTCATAATTAAGTAGAAGGTAGATTAGTAATTCTAACGCCTTTAACGCTGCACAAGTCGCTCGGGTACACATCTTTGCTATTTATGCTTATTTTACTCGACGCAGAAAATTTCAAGAAAATTGACGTTACGTGTCACACTCAAAAGCAAAAAAGGCGCGATCAATAGATAATTATTCACTTTTTAATTAAAAAGGCACAAGGTTCTAAAAAATAAGTCCAAATGTGTTGATAAAGTGAAATTATTAAATAAAAAAATACGCTTAAGGATATTTTAAAAATAGGTCGTAATCCTAAGACAAACTAGGAAAATAAATGAATTTAATAGAAGGATTACAAACCGCCTGATGAGGTAATACGCAAGTACAGCGCCGCCGCAAACCACTATTGGAATTGTTACTTTTAGTTTATAATTCATGCCGATGGATTATATGCCGATTTAACAAATGCAATGTGAGGATTATGCAAAGGGTCTAACAACTACGGGTGGAAATGCCGCTGTGACCGACGAACGACTAATACGTATTTGTTTAAACACACCCTGTGATACTCGGTTTTAGTGGAATTACGTAATTTAGGTAGAGGTCGGTGAGTCGGCGCGCAGGCCGTCTCGCACTGCGCGGCTCGGCGGCGCACCGTCGCGGCGCTCCTCAGTGCGCGCAGCCCTGCTTACCTCCCACTCACCGCTGTCCCCAGACGAACATATAATCGCAAGTTTCTTATTACCTCGTTGTATTCGATTCTTTTCATGGTACACATAACTGATATCGGATTACTGCGCATATATTCCACGTATTGCTCCGACTAACCTCACTTTAATTCTACTCATAACTACTTTAAACGTTCAAGCAAGTACAATCCATTTCAGTATACCCCACTGTAAGTTTTTAGTTACATTTTAAAATATACCATCGTAAGAAAATTTTATTGAGACTAGAAAAAGTATACCTACCTAACATAAAACATGGGAAAAAATTCAGGGACGTAATAATTATAATCTCATTGTCACTTTACATAACATTTGTATAAAGGCATTCGGAAATATATCTGACAAAAAGATTTTTCCCTTATTGCAAACGAAGCGGTACTGCAATTTTTTAAAGGTCAACTGAATTAAAATATTATGTTGACATTCCAAGAGGAGCAATTTTTACGATTTTTTATTAACCTTAAAAATGCATCGTATAGGAGAACAATAAATCATTTACAATATTTATGATAGTGGGAAATTAATATTGTGATACGGAATAATGTTTAGAAGCGAATAATTCAGTCGAAAAGCATAAATAAGATAAAATGAAGGGCGTGCAAAGAGCACGAGCTGAGATGAACGCCGGCTGGGATATACGCACCCGTCCGCCGGTTTGTTTTCCTTGTTTTCTTTAGTTGCACAGCCACCCATTTTCACGATTTTACTGTATGATTAACTAGCGACTAAACATGCACTAAATCACATAAAAACTACAGCAAATAAATAAAATGAACGGAGGACTAAATGCAATGATGGAATGATATTTGTCCAAATGAATGTTGCCGGTCGTCGCGGCAAGGGCGAGGGCGCGGCGAGAGCGAGGGGCGCGCGGATCGATGCGCGGCACGCGGCACGCCGCACGGCACGCAGGACGCAGGAGGCAGGACGCAGGAGCGGGACGCACGCGACGCGGCTTCCCGCCCTCCGGGACTCGCTTCAAAACTTTTCGGAGGGAAACCTACCACCGGCCGGCGCCTCCGATTACCTTCGCGAGTTATATCCGAATGCAGTACCGCAGTCTCTTAAAGCGCGATATCATATCGGAACACCACTCGAACTTATCTCAACATCGACACTCTTGAAAAGGTTTAAGTCGTCAGTTGTCGCGAAACTCTTTAAAAAACCCGGCATGACGGTCACGATGGCGAGTGGCGGTCGGCGAAGAGCGGGCGGACGACGTGATATTATGCAGAGTGGCCACCGCTTACCTTGCACTAGAACAACCGTCGAAGTCGACTGCGAAGTGTAGAATGGTCGGAGCGGGAGCGCGCCGTGCGTTAAGCCGAGCATGCCCCCGCGCCCGCACCGCTCCCCCGGCCTAACCTTGGCTTTGCTGATGCTTGCCTCCCGCCGCCGCCCGCCGCCGCTGCAGATGTACGGCTTCACAGCCGGCCGGCGCGGCGGCAAGCCCATCAGACGGATAGTCAGTTCGGACAACGATGATTGTCATTACATTGCGTGCATAATCGCAATTCAGTTAGACAAGCCCCCGTGAACAATAATGTATTATGTTTACGACTAGCGATTATAGCAATTAATAAAAGCAATAGCTATTAAAACCCGAGCAAAACATAAAAGACCGTAAATTTCAAAGCTTTTAAACAATATTCAACTGTATTAATGAAGTGTAAATGTTGACCACCAGACAGACCCATAGTCATCAGTAGCATTCAAGGAAAGTGAGTCCTTCGCTTTGTTTACTTAAATGGTCAAACTGCATAACTAAACCGGCCTTAACTTCCGAAAGATTCATTAGTATGCGCAGGAGTTTCACGGGCCATTCAACCTTGAACTTTTTTTTCTTTACGAACAGGATAGTTGTTATTTTCTTTTAACTTAAAAACGATAGTTCTCCACAACCATAAGCAAGTAAATCGATATTTTTAAAGGTTTTATTGGTTATAACAACTGATTATTGATGCGTTATCAGTTGAGACGGGATTATCAAAATAGATTTAATAGATAGATTTCTTTCCGTCTGGACCGAGTCCAAGACGGTGTTACCTACGCCGCCATGACGGACGGACCAATGTCAAGTTCGCTTTTTCCTTTCGTTACGTAATTTTTGATTCGAATCAACACGTAAGAATTTACACAAATGATAAAACAGCACGAAAAATGTGCTATTTGCTGTTATCCAATCGATTCCGGATAATCTTGGACACTGATAAATTGTAAATTAGATAGTAGCATCATAAGACTGATACAAGACTCAATTACTATTAAAAATTAATTAAATTTAAAGTTATATTTAGACATTTATGGTAAAATGTAGGTAGCTACGTAAGAAAAAGTTCTACAGACACATTATTGTCGATAAAGAAATCTTACCATGTTTCATTTACCCATCCACCAAATTGTTCAGAATAAGGCCGTAAGTTACCTACATTATCTTTACTTTAGTTCAGTTATCGATTTTGTTGTATAAAATTGTCACACCAATGAGTTTTTATGTATTAAAAATAAGAAAGTAATGAAATTATTTTTAATCTGTATAATCAGCCAGTCGGAAGTAAACGAAAATAGCTGTTTTGATCATGTATTTCTAGTCTGTGGTCATGACGTAATCGGAGTGTATCCTCGTGACCTTGACCTGAGGATTGGGAGCGTGTTACCCGGCGGCACGCGGGGAAGCCGTAACAATTACCCTATTCAATGTCGAAACACGCTCCAAACGTAAACCTATAAACTTGGGCACGCTATTGCAAGACTACGGAAAATTTTGGGCGGAAAAAAGGTTTCCGGTGTTTCGTAATCATTTCAATGTTTGAAATTCTACTTTTAGACATCATTACAAAAGCACGGATTGCGGTAATTTATCACGGACCATGCATATTTTTTGTCTTCTTTTACAGTGGTTTCTCTTTTCTCTCGCTAAAATTGTTGTGTGTTTGATATTTTGATGATTATTTAATAAGGCTTAAACGTACACAATATTTTTGTCTTTTGTTATTTGTGACGACAATTGTGTTTAACAATTCCATAAGACAAATCGAAATGAAGTTAGCTATATGTTACTCAAGTAAATATATTACTAAGTTCTTACGATTCCAATTAATTTCTTAAGGATAATAAATTAATAAAAGTTTCCCTGGTATTGTATACGAACAAAATAAATTGTGCATAATAACATTTAGTAGGTATCAGAAACGAATTTCTAAAATTTTTTAGTTTAGATATTAATTAGCCTTTTTATTTTGTACCTAAATAAAATCACAGGAGATATTTTTGTTATAAATAGAAACACTAATAATGATAGATATCTTTATTAACTTCAAAACTGTTAAGTGCAATGTTATTCCTTATTTTTCCAAGTATTTAAAACATATTTTAAGTTGCAAGGCCTTACAATATTCATCTCTCCGACGTATGAAAGGCATACAAAATTATAAATAATAGACCAACCTTGACGCCTCCATTGTGGATAATTCACTGACGCCAGAGGTATACTCACAATATATTTAACTAATATTATCGAATATTTTAGTGATTTTAGCAATCACAAGCTACTTTTATTCTATGTCCTAGTGCATTCGCCAGTTCAAGTTAGGTATCCCGAATCTTAGGTTACGAACCCAACTGATGCTCCGTGTTATCACAAGGGAAACTTTAAATGTGGTTCCATTTCTATTTAATTTGCTTTAAATATTTTTCTATATTTACATATTTTATTTCAAATGTTACAATATTTACATTATCTGCAATAACATCTAAATTGAGAGCAACAAATATTTGACATTGAAAAAAGTAAAGGTCGTTTCGTTTATTCCATTCATAATTCACGCGAATATGTGAAACGGAGTATGTGCTGCCAGTACGAATTGACGTTTTTAGTGAAGAAAAAAAAATATAGCGAGCCGTGGGAAGTTTCTCGAAGGCCTTGGCAATGACACGAAACGCGGCCTCGCCGACCGTTCAACAGCTTTTAAAAATAAAAGTACCTAGTATTTTTGCATCTTAGCTGTATGATTGAAGGCTTATTTAGTTGAACAACTCGTTGATTTACCTAACGTTTATTTGACTATTTTCTATAAAAAATCAAACCTAATAAATAAATCATAAAAGTTTAATAAAACACAGAACAAGCTTATCGCTTCATAGATACAAGACGATTTAAGTGACATTATCACATAAGAAGTCTAACGTGTGGTGACGGTTTTATCTGAATCGGATAACTATAACCTACACGATACGGCATCAGTCTAGATAACTCGCAAATCCTGGCCTGATATAACGACATGAGTGTGAGAAATTAACATTAAAAAAAAACTGTTCCATAGACAAAAAGTAGTGACATTTGTTGTTGGTGGGAAAAATGACAAAATTTTAATGATTAATTTGAACTTTCGTATTTCGTTAATATTTAATCTAACACATTATACAAAAAAAAACAATAACGTCGCTGTCTGTGTAGTTAAATAATGCGATGACATTCTATATATCGTTTTTAAACGTTTTTTTTTCATCAAAGTTTACATAGGTTTTTCATTTTTAATGCCACCTTCGAATCACATTTAAATCCTTTTAAAAGTATAAAAGTTAAACGTAGATAAAGAAAAAGGATTTATATATTTTTATAAGAATCCGTTGAGGTTTAGTTTTTTTTTGTTTAAATATCTGTGAATTATTGTGATGAATTGGAATTTCCATATTTCACATTTCCATTAATCTACTATGTTGAAGAGTTACATATTTTAAGTAACAAATATTTATTTGTACCTTAATGGCCACTATAATTTAACGATACTCCTGAATGCATGTTCATATTGAAAATTTACGACACGGTAGTTTTATGTTAACGACGTCCATTAAGATTAACAGATTAAAAATAAAAATAAAGTATAATAAAAAGTGAAATGAACTACTTACGAACTATCCACGTTACAACGTACTTAGAACTAAATTCCATAGTCTAGATATTGATATTATAATCTTGGTTAAGATATGGCAAGAGTTTCGAAATTTCTTATCGATATAGTGACATTTTATCATAAAATTTTCACTTACTTGTAGCTGTCAATTGTGGCCAAAGAAAAAATTAGATAAACGAGTATTATTATGGAATAAATCCGAAGCCAAGTAACAGTGAACAGTCTGTACGGAAACATTTTTTGTTTCGGAAGTTTCTGGAAACTTTTGACGTGTCGATAATTTTCAGATAAGATTTAGATTACGGTACGATGGATGTAGATATTTTAAGATAACGTAATATTTAGTAGTATTAGCAACATTAAATAACTTCAGACTTTTGATGTCTGTTTGTGATGATGAATGTTTAGATGGATGTATAGATGTTTGTTTAAAGATCTCGATGAAATTTGTCATAAATGTAGAACATAGTCTACAAATTTCGCGAAGCTTGTCGCTGGCGACAAGTAGTAATGTTATAAAGGTGTTATTGAAAACCTACGAATAGATAAACAGCGAGGCCTTAATTATTCAGGTGACCGCTCGCCCTTTTACCACCAATTAAAAAAAATAATCAGACCATAATATGACTTATGTGTCATCAGTGGAATGTCGTGTTCAAAACATAATGCCGATTTCGTGGAAATAGTCGCAATGTATGACGCATGAATGGCTCTTGTTTCATACATGGAAATATAAGAAGGTAAACTTAAACTTCGGCAACTAAATCATACGTGCATAAATGCAGGAAAATTAATTTTGCTTTTTATAATTGCTGGCAAGTCAAGGAATAACTTTTGGTAATGTAACTTTTGAATTTGGAATCTTTAGTTTTAAATTTTGAATCCTTCAAAATGTTGCCAACATCAAGCAAGAGGAAAGTAACATTTGTCGACTAAAATAATTCAAAACTTTAAAGAAAAGAGTTGATGTAGTTATTGTGTTTATGATGTAGCTCCCACATGTATGGGGTTAATAGATCAAATTGTGGACTCATGGGATGAGCGTATGCGGGTACCTATCAATTATTCTAAATTGGTACACGTAAACAATGTGTACGTTCGATATTGGAGTTATTAATGCATATACTAAACATATTCTGAGAATTTTAATTATAAACAAATGTAGCAAATACACCTACCAATGGAAAGTAATGGCTTGAAAACAATTCAAAAAAAGTAAAAATTATACGTCTCTGTCTAAAAAAACAGCCCTAAAAAGTTTACTTGTATCTTTAGAACATTAGAATTAATTTTTTCTTTTCTTTCCTCATATGCATTTCTTTAAAACTACCCATTAGTAAACATTGTAAAGAAAACGTTCAATTTTTTAAATATTTTACGTCAAAAATTATGTTTGTTGTCCTTAAGGTTAACCTTTTAGGGATTGTAATAAAACCAAAAGTGGTTATTCTATTTTTATTTATTCCAAATACCAAATCGTATATCCAGATTTCAGATTAAACCGGTTATTGTCAGATGGCGCAGGTCTCGCGCGTCGGGTCGGAGTCGCGCTGGGCAATTTGTCTGAATAGCATCTTCCGGTGCGCGGTCTGGCTTCTTCCTGTCTATAACATAATATGCAATCCGCGAATTAGATTCTATTTGAGATACAAAAAAAGTAAAAAAGTTCATATAAACGGTGGCAAATGTAAGCAAAGCTTACAAGACTGACCGTTGGTTTTTGAGACAAAAATCTCTGTAAAAAATATATCGTCTTCCTTTCATTTGAACAAACAGAGGTGACAATGTGTTTTAAATTGAGATTTTGGTTTTAGAAACACCGAGTGTGTTAATAAAATTCATTTGTAATTTTTTAATTATCCTATTTCTTACTAATATTATAAATGCTAATGATTTGATGGATGAATGGATGTTTTTTTGAAAGTATCTCGAGAACTGCTGTATGGATCTCGCAAAAATTTGGCATAGATGTTCATAGTCTGGAAGAAGACATAGATTACTAATTGATTTTGTTTTTTAATACCGTGTCTACGGAGTCGCGGGCCTCAGGCGTCGTTTAATAAATAGGAAACTAAGTATAATATAGCTATTGCAACAATCTATAAAACGAAAATTAAAATTTGTTTCTACTCAGTCAAGGTAATTTTGATATATTACAGTGGTAATCGTAACATACAAGCGGTAATCTTTAACGCGTAATTTAGTTTTATAGTAATTAAAATGAAATGGCAAGTTAGGACGTTGGATTAGTTTGTGATGGCATCTGCCAACATTGTAGCGAGCTAAAAAAATTCTTTGGCTTGAAGCCCAAATTGACATTATGTAATTTGTAAACAAGATACGTGATTGTCTCAATTGGTTGCTAAGCAGCGTAATAGTTGCTAACGCGATTGCAAATTACTATCGCTCTTAGCCGAAGATTTAGTACCTATTTCCACTTAGTATAACTGTCGTTGCTACGCTAGTGGAAATGACCTACCCGGATTGAAAATTACATGGGTATGCGTACACAGCCAATAAGCATTTTATTTTATCTTTATTTCTCTTAAATTCGGATAAAAAACAGCTTCTATTTGTTTTTTTATTAGATATAATTTCGTAGTATGCAGAATTTAATAATGAAATCTGATCGTTCTTGAAGTAAATGACAGTAAGTCAATATTGCAGTTTATAGATAATTATTTAGGCTATCAGGTACTTGACGTACGAGTGTTGATTCAATGTTGCAGTTAAAGTAAAAATATTTACATTAGCGTAGTTTTCCACTGGCGAAACAGCACAAAAACATAGCGTGCTCTTTATAAGCACCCGGTCGTGAATACTCGGTTTACAAAGTTGATGTCTTTTTAGAAGTAATTTAATTTATTTTGTCAATTGACAAAAACAATTATTCAAACATCGAATCAATAAGAAAGAATGAAATACAATTAAAATATAACGAACGGTACAATTCACCGACTTGCAAATGTTTCGAATATCGAGTGATGCTTGAATCAGCAGAATGTTTACCATTGCTTAACTACGTGACATATAGCATCATATTACACTAGAACATAGCACCTTTATTGATATTAATCATCATCAGCTCACTATAAGTCCCCACTGAGGGGCTCGGAGCCTACCCTACGTTAGGGATGACTAGGCTAAGTCAACCTCGCTGGCCCAGTGCCTGTTTTTTTATAACAGAAGGGGGGCAAACGAGAAGCATGGGCAACGCCAATGGACATCAGCAATACCAGAGGAGCCGCAGATGCGTTGCCGGCCTTTGAGATGGTGATAAGCTCGCTTACCACTATCGCTGCTCGCAAGTATTTCTTCGCAGATATATGCAGATTGCATCACGATGTTTCCCTTCACCGTAAGAACATCGGATAAATATACATATGTAAAACGAAAATGGAAAAGCACATTGGTGCATGGCGGGATTCGAACCCAGGACCTGCAGATCGCAAGTCAAGTGCTTAAACCTCTGAGCCACCGGCGCTTCCATTGCTATATATTAATATTAAAATGTATTTAGAGGTAAAAGTATTTCCATATTGACAGAATTTTTCCAAGGTTTTATAGACATCATGCAATTCTCAAGGACAGGCAGAGACAACGTTCCATTTGACGCAATTCAGTCACACCTCTTTAGTTCTTTCTATGATCGACTGATATGAAGATATTGCCTTTCTTCAAATCCTACTTAAGTATACTAGGAATCCTGACAGTTAACTAATCTATTAAAAGCTATTAGTTGCGGTGAGTGTTCGCAACTCATGAAATCCTAGTACATAATACTTATCTTCTGCGAATAAGGAGATTATAATTCTACGGCTTCCTAACAATTTAGAAAATAAATAAATATTTTTATCTGTGGTTTATAGCGGTAATTGCCAGATTAAATTTTTTAGTGTCATAATTTGTGATTTATTTCGTTAACGGTCATTTAGCAATTATATATTTGAACAAAAATTACTTTGTATTTAACAAATATTCCAAGAAATTTATTACAATGTTCAAAATTTTTTGCTTTTTAAAATTTTGGCTAGTGGCAAGTTCCCGTTATTCAACATCAAAATGTAATAAATCTCAATATTTTTTTATAGTAGTATACTTAAATGTTTGCATTAGTGATGCTTCCGTCTAAACGTCTTCGACAACACTTCCTTTTAGTTTTAGCTGGGAGCTCGAAGCTCGGACCGCGTGACTCACGGCCAGTCATCGACCCCGGCTGCGCGTCTCCATTGCACCATCATTATGGCGACCGGTGACGGTATGAAAATATAATGTGCATTGTTGACAATTCTAATGTTTTATTGATAGGTATTTCATTTGAATGTAAAAAAAGAAGGGACAGAAAAGACTTGAAATATTCCACTAAAAGTATTAAGGAGCAAAAAATCTACAAGATTGAAATTTGAAGTTATAGAGTATATAATTAAATGAAACGTATACCATGGGATAATTTCATCTTCAATTTGGCATAGATGTAGAACATAGGCTGGTAGAACACATAGACTTGTTGAACATAAAGTTGTTTAGTCAGCGCGGACGGAGCCGCGACCGCCAGCTTACACATAATAATAATATCTAATCCACATCTGTATCCAGGGGCAATGGAGCCGCGCTCACTATCCTTTGAGTAACATTCTAAGACGGTAATAAATTCTAAATGCAAAAAGTAAAAGTGATTATAAGACGAACAAATAAAATACGACCGGATTAAGGAATACTGGCTTTGATATAAACTAGTCCCGCAATTTAGTATGGTTAGATTGATACATATAAACTCCTTGTAATGTAAGACATAAATTATAAAAATTCTGGCTTTCAAACGACATTAATTTGTCAGATTAAAAAAACAAAGAACATTGGTTATAGGGTTTATAAAACATTTAATCGATATTTATTTGTATGTTAACCGTAAAGTACCAACCTTTAAAAAATCGATTTTAGCTGTGAAAGATCGCAGATGGTCGTAAATAAATTAGCCAGTTGCTGCAAATCGAAGCAATTTCCGTTCCTATATCACCTATTTATTTGCCCGAGAGGTTTATTCCAAAGTATTTATTTGCACATTCTAACAGATAAATCGATAGATTAGAAACGAAATTGTTAAATAAACACGATAAGGAAATTGTAAAAGTAATTTGTGAATTTTGGAGAAAAGAAACGTTTTCTAAAGGTATCATAGAATACATTACAATTTTAAAGTGGTTTAGAGTACTGCAGAATTCTAACGCACTGCTGAGTACATTTGGTAGTATTTCTGTCCCTGAGTGATGTAAATCATTGTGATGTTTATCTCTCGCCAACCACTTCCGCCTCCCACCTTCCGTCTCAAAACAATTTCGTTCATACTTCTAACCTAACCTAACATGTTCTTATTTTATGTACTATAAATCATAATCTACTTTCATTAATAGCATTGCTAGACAAAGGCCTCTCTATATCACCTTCTATGTTATTAAAAAATAAATCACCTTACAAATGTCGTGTAGTCATTTCTTCGCTGGTGATTCGTATATAATTTCCGAGGGCGGCAGTTCCTTGAGCCGCTCACCGCTCCTGACCATTGAGGCGGTGAGAGTCAGCGGCTGCGAAGCCGTGGCCGGACGCGGGCCTGAAGGGCCAGCTGACGGGCCACCTCCCCTCGCAACCCCCGGGCCTCCTACGGCGTCTGCTGCCATGCACGGGAACCAACCCCTACGAAGAAAGAAAGTAACACTCAATAAAGAAGTTTTTTCGGAGTGACTGCAACGTACCAAAAGGTGAGGGGACGTTTAAACGCGGAAGCCGTCGGTAAATAGTACTTTTAAAATTAAAATTACCTTCCAATACGTTCGCGAGAATCTTCTATCAGTACCAAATGTTGAGGTGCGATGTCTTATCCCTTAGGGGTTTCTTTTGGTGGGGCGTCCTTTGCAGGTGGCCCCCCGGCACCGGCCGACTCCGCGGCTTGCTCAGTACATGGAAACCAGCCCCTTCGTACAGGGTAAAACATTAGACAAATGTTTAAGCAATATTTAAATACGCGAATCCCTAAGGCAAAATTAAAGAAATATATTTTTTTTAATAAGCTAGGAGTGATGAGCAAGCCGTCTTGTCGATATGAGAATGACAAACTAAATATCGTGGAATTCATCGCCATTATTGGTGATTAATTTCAAGATTATAGTTTCTCACTCTGAAATCTTAGCCCCTTTGTATAAAAGACAACGTAAATTTTCGAAACTACTATTGTATCCTAGTGTCGCAAGTATCGCGTTGGGCGCGCTCCGTACACGTTGAATCGTCGACGCGTTTGGTCTATCCGGTCAGTAGAGGCATAGGGACTTTATGTCAACTGTATACATTTGCTTCACAATATTCAAAAGCACAGCAACTTTACTAAAGCCCGCTACACAACTTCAATTTTAACTGTATAGTTCGACTGTACAGATTAAACTGAAAGTCTGTAGTAGGCTTTAACAAGATCTTGTCAAACAAAGGAGCGACTGGTATTGGCGAGTAAAGAACATATAACAACGCGTACATTTATACGAACCTCTGAGAGTATATTGCGTGAATCGCTTTGCAACTAAAATCGCCGGGTTGTGAAGATTTACGTTGCCCGTGCACGAAGGGCCTTAATGTTACCGTGATTTTCCACTGCCGACATTCAGCCGTCCCTCTCGTTCTCTCTGAATACACAGAGATAGCAATATATTTTTGTAGACATTTTTCCGGAGTTGAAATTCACGGTTTCATTGCCTTATTATATCGTTATTAATCTAGTTTGATTATTATTTCATAAAAATAAAAAGGACTTTAATAAAGTAATGTGCCGAGGATCCCAACAATCTTATTTAAAAGGCATTTTTAATGCCTAATAACTAGTAAAGGAGATTCTTTAAAACTAAATGACTCATAAAAAGTCCGTTACCTCAACATGCTGGCAGCCATCAGATATATAAAGAAAAACAAAATATAGAAAGTCGTAACAAAACAATAATATGTTTATTTGTAAATACATCCGATAAAATACGTAGCTGTTTATTATCAGGGAGTGGATTTTAAATAAATTGCAACAACAATTTTTTTTAGAAATCTCTCGCAGGTTCAAATGGATATTGATATTCGTAAATATTTAAATGCATTTAATTAAGCACAGGAAACAGCTTGATTAAAGCCAGGTTTTGTGTGGGAATCTCTTGCCACACAGAATAACACCACACATTTTTACACAAATAAAAGTGTAAATTAAGCCAAGTATGGATATCAGTGATACGTACAATTTACATTAACAACTACGATATATTTATATAACACTAGCTGTAACCCGCGACTCCGACCGCGCGGGATTAAAAATAGATGTTGGTCGATTCTCAGACCTACTCAATATGCTCACAAAATTTCATGAGAATCATTCATTTCGGAGGAGTATGGGAACGAAAATTGTGACACGCGAATTTTATATATAAGATTTCCCAATTATAACCATAAAATCTTTTCGAATCTTTTAAAGTAATTGCTATTATTCCCCATTCTGGGATACCCAGTGTTTATCAGTCCCCATACGCCATCTATGTAAGAATAAACTTGATTTACTTTTTCAGTAATAATTTATTAAGTTTTTAGAAACATTTTTTTCTCTAACAGTTCAGTGTGTAAATTTATTGCGCTTTCGGTTTTACAAGCAATAAAATGTTAAGTATTTAGAGTGCTTGGTAAGCAACAATTTCCACTACGCAAAGGAAATTATGGAGAACGGAAGTGCTTGAGCCTAAATTTTATGATTTCAAACATGTTTTAATAAAATAATTATATGGCAACTTTATACATTGCCATTAAAGAAGGCAACATATTATTTTTCTAAAACAGATTTGTATGGCCAGTAATAAATAGATAGTCGAAAAAAATATTTTTTTTTGCATTAAAAATATAGCTTGGCATATAAAACCTATTTGTTGTGGTTTTCTGATGTCATCCTTATCTCTTGAGTGCTATAGTATCTTTATTGTTCCCGACGTATATAAGATTAGTTGGAGATTACAGATTATCGCAATTTTCCAAGATTCTGACTCATTTTAATGTTTCATTCAATATAAAAGGATATTGCCATAAACATTATGATTTAAATTTGTTTTAAATCATATTTTATCGATCATTTTAAATTTAGAAATAGCGTTTGAAAATTCGCCTTGAACGTTTCTTGCTTTCTTTTTAGATTAGATATAACATTTTACAATGAAATTTATCAAACTATCAACACAGCTTTTTGGCAAATTTTCGCTTTTAACAAACCTTACTAATATTATAAATGCGAATTTTCTAGGGATGGATGTTTGTTTGAAGGTATATGCGGAATTGCTCTACGGATCTTGATGAAATTTGACACAGATGTAGAACATAGTCTGGAAGAACACATAGGCTACTAAGTAAGATTTTTGTCAAGGACGGAGTCGCGGGCGTCAACTAGTAAGGAAAAAGGTTATATATTTGTCTTAACAAGGCAACAAACAGATATAAGCATTACTTCTCCATGATAATAAATTAAAAAATATAAAACAAAAGCGACCTTGATCGCAATGCATGAAGATACAAACTGCATTGAAGGTCGAGAAATGATCACGTAAGACAACTAAGTGAATTATCACCTGATGCTTAAACCACATTATGTTTCCATGGAGATGTTTTCAGATAGGTTATCAATATTATCGATACGATAAAATTTAATTTGCAATAAAACAAATTTGGAGTCTTTATAATCCGACTTTCGTCACATGTTTTAAACAAATGAAAAAAGCTGTAAACAAACTCATTCCTATTAACATGCATTAAGAGAATAAGATCTCACCAGATTTACATTTCCCTCAAACTGTCAATCATTAATAAATAACTAATGTCTTCCTAACTCTAACTGCTTTCAGCCGATAAATGTATGCTATCTGTTTTATTTGCTGGAAATCCTTACTATATGTCGCCTCATGGCAACACTATTGCAGTCGCAGACTAGTCGACAAACAGATCGCGAACATATGTTAATGGTGCAAAATGTTACTGCACATACAGAAGCCTAGCCGATTTTTATACGACTCAAGTATATTTCGCCCTAAAAATTTAATACACGGGAAAGAAATCTGAATAAAATTATGACTTTCCAAATTTCTACTAAAACAAAAATACAAGGGAATATGATCCAAATGTCGTCCAAAAAGCAATGATACAGATAATACGACCAGGATTTAAATTAGGGGACATTGATCTTAAGCAGAAGTGGTATTGAACAGAGTACTAAATAATCTTTTTTTTTATATCATAAGGTGGAAAACGAGCGAGCGGCCACCTGAAATCGCTGAATTGCATATGCGTTGCCTACCTTTAATCGACGGAGGAGAGGATGCACACAAAGAAAATATTTTCCCAAAGTCCATTTCCACTTCCCATCCTTTCCTTAAAAGAAAAAAGATGGGAAGGGAAAGAGGACTAAATTAGGCCTCTGCGACGCACACTCATCATACGAAACGCGGAATTGCTTCTACTTCACGCCTGTCTTCTGTGTGGTCGTGGTATTTCACCGGGCGAGCCGGGCCAATTCGTGCGAAGATGTTAAAGCGGGCTCTACCACTGTTAAAATGATTTTAGTCTACGATTATCTTACCTAACTAAAATAGGTTACTTCAACGATCTGGATATAAAAATCAAAGCTGAGATTTATTAAATGTGTAATCAAAAATATAATATAAACATAAAAACTTGTAAAAAAAATGCTAATTGTAAATTTCTTCAATCATCAATATCAAAGACTTGTTCGGTGACTTCCTCAGTTTGTGCATCAGGTATCTCCTCGTGGAGAAACTCTTGATTGGATTCTAAATTTCCAATTGTTTCTTCAACATTATTCTCGGCAACATATTCTGCAAATATCTCTGTAATTTGTTCAGGCTCCTCAATAGGTGTTGGTGATGCTTCAACGAAGGAATCTTCGGAAACAGCCATCACTTTAGGACTATGAGGTTCACTGGTTTCTTGTGCTTGTTCTGGTTCATTCACAGTATCGGATTCCGTTGCTTTAATAGGAGTGAATAAAGGCGGGACTGTAGTGAAAAATGACGGAGTACGGGTCGCATCTTGGTTTTTCGGTGTCTCGTCCAAAGATAAAACTTCTGTATTCGTTTCGCTTTCATATCTCTCTTTAGGTTTGAAGAAGTTATCCCTGCGAAAAAATTTACATCAACATTTTATAATCAATCTTTTATAATTACAAAAGAAAATGTTGTTGGCATAAAAAAATAAAAAAAATCACGTACCATAAATATTGGTTATCGTCGATAAATAGTCTGTTTACCATTTTGTTTTCGATGCTAGAGATTGCGAAGTTGTAAAAATATTTTGTTTGTCGTAAAAAAAATATAGTCTGTGATGTGATGCCAAGCAATTATAATTGGCGAGAGTGGGCAAATATTGCACATTGAAACGTTCATAGTAATAGCAATTAATTGATTACATAGTCAATAATACTTGGATATTATCCAAGAAGATATATGTTTTAAAATTATAGTATTAAATCATTTATTATAGATCTTAGGATCGTTCATAAATACAAAAATTATAGTACTCCAAAATGTCAAGGACCGAAGCAGTCCGTGGAATTTTATGGAAATAATAAGGTAAAAAGCTTTGATATTTAAATATCATAGTAATTGGAACAAGGCTAGACTTGGAGAGAATTTTTTTCGTGTTTGACACTATTTAAAACAGACAATGAATGAGGTCTGTCATAATGACGATAACATGTGTAAATTATCAAGACGTAAGGTTAAAAAATCATCAAATTGTTGTCCGGCATGATAGGGTAACAAACCAAAATATTTTTGTTCAAGTTGCGTAATAATTTACGTGTGTATATTATGAAACTGAGAGAAACAAGGCGCCATAGATACTAAAGTATACTGCTTTTATCTCATCAGACATAGGAAGGCGTGAGAATAGCCGTCAGCTC